ACCCTGTGCGCCGGGAAGCGCTTCCCCTCCACCACGAAGGTGACATCGCTGTACTCCTCCCCCAAAACCAGCGCCCCCAGCTGCTCCGAGAGCAGGTGGACGTGGTCTATCTCCGACACGGAGGCGAGCGGACGCAGAGGGTGGCTGTTGCTCATGGTCGGCGGCTCCCGCGGTCACATCTGCCCGCAACAGCAAACACGTCAGTGTCCCGGAGGTTTCTAGAACAAGCTCGGGGCGTTAGCTAGTTAGCTAGCTAGCTTGCGCTAAATGCTAAGCGCTAAGCGAGTGCTCGGAGAGAGAAAAAAATGACAGAACTTGACAAACGCCTAATAAATAAGAGCGGGTGCTTTTCACACCGCGTTTTAAACGTCGTGGTCATCGTGATAAAGATATAAAAGCGACAAAAGGCGACGCTGAGCTTTATCGTTGAGCAGCCGTTGCCTCTGTAGACAGTCAACACATAAACGGCTACCGGCTAAATGACTCCTTCCTGTGTTCATAACTTACCGAAAAGCTACCATAAACCTCCAAGATTAGATAAAGATTGGGTTAAAAAAAATACAGATGAGATCGTTATTCCAATTTGGAACAAATTTTAGCAAGAGATTGGTAAATATTCCAGCATCGCACGGATGGAAACTGATGCTCGCCCCCAAAGCAACAACTTCCGGGTTGTCTCCCGCCGCCCGTTGGTGGCTCAGCGCCACCTGCTGGACTGGAGTGTGAACGACACCCAGTTCTTCTTCTTCTTCTTGTTTTTATTGGCGGTTTGCAACAACCTTTAAGCAGCATTACCGCCACCTGCTGGTATGGAGTGTGGTTTGATATGGACTATCAACTTTTATAAGTATTTGTATCTTCCTACTCCTACCCTTAATATATAATTTAACTAAATGAATTTCCTTTTTATGTATACCTACATACTCTCATCCATTTTTATATATATCTTTATAATCCACCCCCCTAGATCATGCACCCATTCACACACACACCTATTTTAATAATATTCTTTGAAATATTTTAGTTTTCTTTAAATATCCCATAATTATTTGTATATGTTTACTCCCCGAATTCATCCTCAAAATATCTAACAAATTAATCTTTTGCTTAATACATTCAAACTCTCCTTTCATACACCTGACACCCAGTTCTTTTTCTTCTTCTCTTCTTTTAGGTGCATTATCGCCACCTTCCGGAATGGAGTATGAATCAGAAAATCTATTCAATTCTCTCTAACACACCTGTTCTTTTTAGAAAACTGAAACTACTCCCAAAAACTACATCCCCAGACGACCTCTGAAACAAATCCCTTATATCAAATTTTATTTTATTCCTGCCTAATTCTCTACACAAAATCTCTCTTTCATGAGTAGCCTATATTTATTACATTCTAAAAAAAATATGTTGGACTGTTTCTAATTTCCCACAATTACAACACCCTGTATTATGCTTATTACACCCAGTTCATTGGGACAAATGAGGACTTCTCATCGGCAAAAGTCCATTCAGGAAAAAAAAGCTCCGCAAAATCTCTAAATGAAGAGGCACAAGAAAAAATAAGACATAGACATAGACATAGGACATGTAACAGGAAAAGCCCAAACAGCAAAGAAAACCCAAAAGCAAAGTAAAAAATAAAACAAACTCATCGCAGGTTTTAGAATTTCTTTTCTTGAGATCAACATGAGGGAAATTCACTGTAAGTTCCCTTCTTTAGTTTAATTTTCATCCATCATATTTCCACAGGTCTACTCATATGTTATTAGAACATTGTACATATTATATCTTTGGAGTTTGGATTTTTTTAAATTATAACGTATCATGTTCAATTTCAGTGACTTTTTTTAATCAAACATTTGGGATTTTTTGCTTCTGAGTTGTCATGTCCATTTTCCCTTGCTCAGATTTTGCTTATTGTCAGTTCTAATGCCACAACACCAGTTTTCTCATCCTCTTTTCTGTTCATCCCACCTTCTGTCCTATCAGCTTCTTGTATTTATAGCAGGTTGTTGTAAATTAAAGAGGATTTATCTACTGGTCCTCATAGACACAAAACCGGAGACCCAGAAAAAAACCGTATTCTGTCACAGTTAATTTATTTGACATGTTAGAAATGACCAAAAAAACATTTTAATTTTCCTATTTGAGTTTTTAAAATTATGCTGTTACAATGCATTTCATTTACAAACCATGTACTTGTACAAAACATTTACACTGGCAGGAGGGAGACGGCTCATGACGAGACAAGATGGAGGAAATAAAAAAAAAAGTGTTTACTATTGATCATAAAATGCGCACACACACATACACAGTTTTTCCTGCCATACAAATCTGAAATTTGTACAACTTCTTGACCACCTGAACAACCTAAAAACCTGAAACTGGATCTTTTAGACTTGGAGGAGTGGAGGCATGACAGTTAATGGATCTGGCAGTGTGCAGAGCTTTGAGCGTTTTGTCTTTTAGGTTTCAAAAGGAGACGGATGAGCTTCTCACATCACAAAAAGCGGAAAGCACACAGTTTCATGGACGTTTGCAGACTGTAAACCTCTTTAACCCTGAAGTAGCAATTCAGCTTCCACACTCTACACATTACCAAGAGCAATATACAAATATAACGGGATGTATAACTCAACACAATTCATAGCTCTAAATAATCATCTCCCACTTTTATACACAGTATAATCGATAATAGAATTAATAAATATCTAATAACAGAATGGCATGCTCCCCCCCCCCCCCAGCACCATATATTAGAATGAAATCAGTAAAATTTATGTCACATTCGGGGGCGGGTGGGTGTCGGGAAAAGGGACATTTGCCACACGAGCACTCTTACAAAAGCACATTTACACGGGAGTGTGTGTGACGTGGGACATTTTTAACTGGATTTGTGTTTGAAAAGTACGCAAAATATTGGTCTTAAGAGGGAAAAAACGGGGCCGAATTTAACCCGAAACCCTGTTTTTCTAATCAGATTTGAGATCAGCAACAGCCTGCAGACACGTGACCCCAAACTATCTCCCAGAGGAAAAGAAACGGCCCTCGTGGTCCCTCTGCCCAGGGGGCTGAAAACTATTTGTATTTTGGGCTAAACTAGCCTCTGGGCAGGGGAGCACATCAGGAATGACCCCCCCCCCTTTGGTAGATATAAGATGTTCTCCTTCTGGGTCCGAGGAGCCTCGTCTAAATCGGGATTTTACACTAACAAACGGATTGGAATAAGCATGAGTGGAAAAGAGGTATTTTCTGAAGGCTTTCCACTGAATTTAGGGCTTCTTTTACAGTTGTAATACGACATTTAGCCACTTGGGGGCAGCAGAATCAGGCCTCT